TCTACACCTATACTACTAACTCTAAATTTTCAGATTTACATTTCAATATTAAATCCTAAAATTTTTTAATTTTTAAATATTTTTACCAATAAATTTTATTTTCATTGTGCGCACATAATTAAAGTCAAAAAATAGTTTTTGACAATTTTTACGCGCAAACGCTAATTACCTACAAATAAAGAAAAGTTTTTGAAAGAAAGAAAAATTTTTTAGAAAAAACAATTTTTACATTTTCGGTAGGTAATTATCTTCAAAAAATAATTTTTCTTTCTTTTTGCCCGGAAAAAATAAATTTTTATTTTCAAAGAGCAATTATATACAAAATTGCAAATATTTTTATGTTTTTCAATAAAAAATGTTCTTTTTTGTAAATAATTTTAAAAATAATTGTAAAGATATTTTTGTAATCAAAAATACTTTTTGATTATATCAACGTGTAAAATATTTAAAAAATTTCTATTAATAGAGAAATAATTACAGAATCGCTATTAATTTAAAATAATTTATAATAAAAAATTATTAAACCGGTTGGCCTTTGAAAATTTTCGCCTGCGGCGCCTTAAAAGAGAAATTTGTCTTCTAGGCCTTACAAAATTTCCAGTTTTATAAATTTTACAAAATTTCCGAGCCTTACAAAATTTCCAGTTTTATAACACTTTGGAAAGAAAGTGTTATAAAACCGGAGTAAAAATTTTAAAAAATTTCTAGACAACCAGTACCTATACTACTATAAGGGTTTAAAAAACTTCAGTTGAGTATTTTCTATACTTTTTTCTAAAATACATCTCCATAAAATCATTTTTTAAAAAAACAAATTATTTTGCTCTTAAAAAAGTGAAAATACGATCGGAAAGCAATTATAGAAATTGCGACATTTTAGTATATAGTTGAAAAATTAAGGTAAAAACCACGCAAAACAAAATGCGCAAAAGCAATTATCTAGGAAGAAATGAAAAAAGCCTTATAAAATATTTTATAAGTCATGTGTAATAATTAGTTTTATTTTAAATAAAAAAATATATTTTCGGTTGTGACTTTTTAAATAATTTTTATATTAAATAAAAATATTTTTCAATAATTAATTTAAAAAAGAAAGTTCAATCTATATTTACTTTTAAAATATACATTATACTATTGAATACAACACCGCAAAAGCGTGGCTTATCGATCCTTTTAAGTTTGTAATCTTTACAGCAATAGGTGTCAGAAATGTCCCCGTAAGGCTTTTATTATCAATTAGCATTGGATACCTTACATATAAAACTACAGCACTAAAATATCTAATATAAATTTTAAAAAGTAGATAAAAAATTATGATATATCTATTTTGCCAAGAACAATGTAATTTTATATTTTCAAATTCTATATCTACATTATTGTAATATCTTATATCTTTCCATGAAAAATTTTTTAAAATAATTTACATAAAATACTTGTCTATTTTTTAATAGAAGACAAGTGAAACGAAAAAAGTAATTACCAAAAGAAATTATTTTGTTACTTAAATTTTCTTCAACATTAGCGCGCAAAACAATTATTTTCATGAAATTAAAAAATTTATTAAGAAACAACAATTTTTCTTTTTCGATAGGTAATTATCTGCAAAAATCATTTTTCTTTATTCCTGTCCGAAAAAATTTTTATTTTCAAAAAAGCAATTACACAAAAAACTGATAGTTTGTAAAATATTTTAAAAATGATTGTAAAAATATTTTTTTGCAATCAAAAATACTTTTTCTTATATTCTAAATATAATTTTCACTCATAGAGAATGTAAAAAACTACATTCTTAATAGAGAATGTAAATTTTAAATAAAATTCATTTACTTTTAAAGTCTTCTTAGGCTTACTTAGTTTTCGAAGTTTTCGCTTGCGGCGCAATAAAATAAGTAGTATTGCAAATCGATATTTCAAACTAAAATTTTAAAAAATAAATATAAAATCAAAGCCTAAAGGGATATTTAAAATGAGATGAATTTAAATTGGAATTCTATAAAAACTTAGAAAAAGAATTAAAGAATATTAAAAACCAAACCTATAGGTTTATATTGTGATTTATTAAACATTTAAAACATGAGGGGAAGTGAAACAAATTTATATGAATGAAAAATTTAAGGAAAATTAATTTTTAATATTTTTTTGAGATTTTATATTTTTATTATTTTTTTGGATTTTAGAATTTTATTGTTTTTTTATATTTTGTATTTTTTAGTATTTTATATTTTAAATGTATATACACTGTTGGGGTTCATATTCTATATAGGAATTAGTTTCCGACCTAGAAAGAGTGTAAGTTTCGCCGATTCAATGACGAATGATTTTACAGCAACAACGATATCTGAGCATGTCTCTTTTACAAATAACCAAGCTGAAGAAAATACACTTGGTTCGTGGTACACTACTGTAAATGTTGGTTTGTATACCTGTTTCCATTCTTTCTTTTTCTCATCGTAAATAAACCATACATGACCAGTCGGTGTCCAAGTTATATTTGTAAAATTTGGTTGAGGGGGTAAATGTAAAACATGTTTGAACGTGCTGGGTCTGGGAGTTCTTCGAAATAAGGATACTTTAGCTTCCTCAACTTTCCATATTCTTCGATATTCACAGTACACATACCCAAAAATAAAAATAAAAATAATTTTATTAAACATTTTTTATTAACAATTATGAGAAAATAAAACATATCACTTATATATTTTCATAAATTTTCTGTTTGTTCAACAGCTTCCAATACATCTATACATTCAATTGGGTAAAAATACTGATGTCTTCTTCCTCCAGCAACACAAATAAGTGGTAATTGTGGATACGCAAGATCAATTCGGTGACAAACATAGAAATATTGTCTTATTGTAACACGTAAGTATCCTCGTAGAGCAAATATCTGATCAGCCCCCATCTTTGTTAACTTGCACGGATATATTTCCATCTGTTGGTGCTTTAGATGATTTGTAATTAGAGCTTTCTTTCTAGGTTCAGTAAAATTCCTTTGACCAATCCCCGATATTGCAACATCTTCATTAGTCAAGCTTGTAAGAGTCTGCAAGTAATTGATATTTTCATTATATTTTTTTCGTAGTTCGCGATGAAGTGATTCTGGGGCACATCCTCCATTGAAACGACAAAGTATTTGAATAAGTGGTGTTAATTGAACTTGAGGTGAAGAACTAATAGATTCAGGCATGTTGTCGCTAGTACGCATGGCAAACTAATTTGTAATAAATAAATATTGCTCTTATATACTAAGAGGGCCTTTGGCAAATCGAATACTTGTCATCCCATTTCCTTTTTTACGAATATTTGTATGTAGTCTAAATAATACAGCCAGGACAAATAATAAACCCAAATCCAAAATATACGCTAAGACAAGCAGTATATCTTTGTTTGGAGATATAGCAGGCCCTATAGAAAGGGCATGTCTTTCGTCAATAGCAAAACAAGCATTTACATTCGGAGGAAAGGGTCCGTGCAATGGAAATAGGATATTACTGTCATTTTGAGATAATATAACACAAAATAGTGAAAATAGTATTAAAATTGAATATATCATTTTAGTAGCTAAATTAAAATATTAACACTTATCTTATATACGAAAGGTATTGTATAAATCGTCTTAAAAAAGCGTCACGGGCTTCTGAGGGAATTGAATGCAATTTTTGTAGTGTTGATGAAAAATTGTTCTTTGAACGCAATATTAAAAAATAAATACAATAATGGCCACAGGTATCTGATAGAGGGGATTGCAAAGGAAATTTATTTTGTTTTACTTTTGAAAAATTACCAAGCATAGATTGTCTCATGTCACAATTCGGCTCATCCGCAAAAGAGTCAAAGTATTCCACAGTACTCGGATTATCAGAATAACAAGCAACCCAATGTTCACCAACCGTCCCTTTACGCCTATTATTTACAATAAAACAAAAAGGCTTAGTCCATATTTTATTTGGGATATTGTCAGAAGAAAAGACACCAATAAATATATTTTTTAGAGGTTTATATTTTTGAAGTAGATTTTCGATTTGGAGAGAATTCATTTTAAACAGAACCATCAGTGCTCAGCACACGATCTGCATTTATGGACATTATTGCATCGAATTCGCCCATGATTATCATTTCATACCCCTCATCCTTTACAGGCTTATCGAACAAACAACGGACGGTTGTTGTTCCTTGTCTAATGAGTTCCAAACCATTAGTGTCTTCTAGCGTCGAAGTCATAGGTATAACAAAGAAACAAGACGATTGCGCAAATTCTTTCATTCCTATGCTTAAAGTTCTTTGATCTGAATTTGGCCAAGCATCTAAGTCCATACCTACATACATATCAACAAAAGCACGTACAAAGCTGTCGTTGGAAAAATCAAGCTCATAAGGAACAGCTGGAAACTGGAACCCACCAAATTCTGCTGAAACAGTTCGCAAATTCGCATGCTCAAAATTGAACGGAGACAACGCAGTATTTCCAGTATATGCAGGTGCGCTTACAAAACAAATCACTAATCGTCTAGGACATGTACTAGTGAACGCAGCATGTGTAATTTCCTGGCGGCCTTTTCCAAGAAAAACGCTCCGAATTTCAATCTTTCTATATGCATATTTTGCAGGCGTCTGTTCTAAATGTCTAGCAATAGCATTATTTAGCGACATACTTAAATCAACCTGCTTAACAAAAATTCTCATATCGTGAAGTCGTAGGCGGTATGAGCATGTATTATTTAATAAATCTTCACCAGCTTTTTTACGATATTTTGGTGCATGAATAAGGAATTCATCGCTATTTCTGTAAAATGTCCAGAGCACATCACTATTAGGTATTAAAAGCTGATTTTGTCTGGCCATATCATAGTCCAAATGCGACAGTAATCTGCAAGTCTGCCCTTTGGCAAATCTTGCTGCTCGTGATTTAAACCCTGAACCTTCAAAATCGTTTTTGTCAACTGCATCTTTATAATAAAGTGCAGCCTCATAGAGACCTTTGCTAACCTCTCGATCTGCTCCAAGTTCATGTAGAAGTAGACATCTGTATGCGTAATGTATTCCTGAGTCATAGCATTGAATACCATTAATAGATAAAGTTAAACGACGAATCCATGTTAAACCTAAATATTGAGCTACACTAGTAAAACTATCACCTGCAAAATTCCCTGCCAAGTCTTTAACAATAGGCACCCATTCGCCAGTTGCATCAACTTTACGTTCAAGAGATAATACAAGACTCAGATATGTCTTACTCAAATCTAAGTAAAGTGAGTCACCAAAATACCGGAAAATAAAAGGACCTGCAGATTGATTAAGTGCATTGAGGGGAAGCAATTCTTTGTATGCGGACCGTTGAATACCAACATTTGTTGATGGTATACTAAAGAAAGTTAGTCGATTATCAACCCCTTCAGTACTGTCTTTATCAATTTTCTTTATTGTCGTCATTTTAATTATAGAATAATAACAATATACTAATACTTATATACTCAGAAATCATCAAAGCTGAGTTGGTCTCTATATCGTCTACGTTTCTTTCCTAAATTATCTATAATAACATTTTGTTTTTTCTTTCGGCTTCTTTTGCCTTTCCCACATTGTTCTAGTTTTTTTCCTACCTTTTGAAGACCTTCGCTTCCATGCTGTTTCAATGCTTCACTTACTGAGCGACCTTGTGAAACATCTTCGAGAATATTTTTTCCTACATTTACAGCCTCATTTCCCGCAGTTGTGGCTATATTTTTAACAATAGGCATTAAAAAACGCCCCACAGCCCCAAGTACACCAAATCCTCTTTGATACCTAGTTCCTTGGAAATAACGATTATCTTCAGGTAATCTTCCTCCTCCGTCTTGAGCACTCAAAAATGGCTCCCAGTCAATTTTATCTATGTCTAAACTAACGTGTGTCATGCTTTAAAATAGTGAGCGTTGAAAGTGTAATGTTAATATACAAGTTCCCCAATGGAATTTTACTAGCTTTCCAGTTAAGGTTCGAATTTCAATAGTAATGTCTGGATGGCGTTTACCTAATAAACGATGATGATGTTCGGTCATATATACTTCTGAAACACTTTCTCCAGGTTCACCAGATACATTAACAACACGTAATAAAGGTGCAGTTACGTTACCTATTATGCTATTTTCAACAAGTTTTGGTGCATAAACTAAAAATTGACGCACACCTCCAGATATATCAGGCATATACTTTGCGACTTGTCCACTATGAACCTTTTCTGAATCGAAACCAAGAGTATAAGCTAGTTGACGACTTAATTTAATAAATTGTACGTTTCCTTGCAAGAAGACATGAAATCTCTTATGCACTTTATCGTATAGTATGGAAACCCATTGATATTTTGGATCAGCGAGTTGTATATTGGAGAAGCTAAGAAGCATTTTTAAATATTCAGGAGGATAAGCATATTCAGCTAGATGCATTTTCTTAGGCTCCGAGTCATTTAACTCTTCTGATTCTTTTTGCGGATGAACTTTTTGTTGATGAACATTTTCTTGTTGTGGAAGTTCTTTGTCTTTGGTTTTATCTTCAACATGCCTACCTCCACCACCAAAGAAGCTTTTCCAAAAGGAAGGACGTTCAGGAGGGTCAGCAATTAACATTTCAGGATGCGGGAGCTCAGGCAACGAGCTTAGATCCTCAGGTTGAATTGCTACTTGCTCTGGTTCTTCTTCAATAATGGGAAGATTACTCACTTTTTCAGCCACTTCCTCATTACTTATTGCTGGAGATTCCTGTGGCTTTCCTAAGCCTTCTTTTTCAGGGGACCATGGTTCAACAGCGTCTTCTTCACTTATTGTTGGTAATTCATGCGACTCATTATCTTCAAGATTGTGCCTTGAATGGTGTACAGGCTCTTCTAAGGGGGGAGTCCAAGGCTCTTCATCTTCATCAACAACTCCTGGAAATTCCTGAATCTTTTCTTTAGAAAATTCTACATGCTCCTCAGTGACTTTTTGTTCAATTTCCTCACTATGTTCAATATTTTTCTCATCTTCGTGTGTCGTAGACTCTTCAACATTTTCCAATATTTCTTCAGAAGTTTCATCAGGTGTTTCAGCGACTTCTTGTTCAAGTTCTTCATGATGTTCAATATTTTTATCTTCTACAATTGTCGAAGGATCTGCATCCATTTCTTGCGTACCTTCAGAAGTTTCTTCAGGCGTTTCAGCGACTTCTTGTTCATGTTCAGCGTCAATATTTTCATCTTCTGCAGGTGCTGAAGGTTCTTCATCTCTTTCTTGTGTATCTTCAGATGGCTCTTCAACGATGTCATCAGTTGATTCAGCTTCTTCCTCAATATTTTCCTCTTCATGTGTAGAAGGCTGTTTACTATTTTCTTGCATATCTTCAGTCGGTCCTTTAGGCTCTTCTTCATGTTCGACCTGACTTTCATTATTTTCCTCTTCATGTGTCGAAGTCTCTTCATCATCAGGAGTTGTTATTTTTGCTGATGAAGTTTCAAAGTCTTGTTTCGAAAGTTCAACTTCAACTTTGCCTACAATTTCTTCAGATAAAATTTTCTGACCCGCAACAGCTTCTTCAACTTGACTGGCTAATTCTTTAACCTTTTGTTCTGCGGCCTTAGCACGATCTGCAGCTTTTCGTGCCTCAGTAACATCGCCTCGTAATTCTGCCGCTAGAGTTTCTATTTGTGCTTCTGAAACCCTATCTTTTGCATCTAAACATTCTTGTATCCATTTATCTATTTCATTTCTTCGACTAAACAATAATTTTAATTGTGTTACTACCAATTTTAGAATGGTTGCAGGTACTTTTCTCTTAGTTACCCCCGTCTCATTTAATGTTACCTCTTCATCTAGTAGTGCATACTTATAACGAGCATCTTTCCAATATTTTTGATTAAGATCTTTATTTAGTTGTGATTGTTGCTTTGCCAATTCTACACTATTAGTCAATGACCTTGTAGCCGCACGAACAGCCATATCTATCAAAGTTTTTTGTTCATCTGTTAGTGTATCAGAAAGAGGTGTTATCTTTCCGTCTAAAGGAGTTTTTTCATTTTGCTTTTCAGTATCCTGTTGTATATCATCCGATTTTTCTTCAGAAGATACTGGAGCTTCAGTAGGAGCTTCTGATACAGGTGTTACTGGAGACTTTGGAATAGGAGGATCATCAGTTATAGAACTATCAGATGTAGGCAAAATTTCTGTTTTTTCATTAATTTGATTTTTAACTTGAACTTGAGAAGGAGCAGGTGTATCTGTTTCATGATTTTCATCAACCTTTTCCACTAAACTTGCTTCTTGTAAAGAATTTTCAGGTTTAGTTTCAGATGGAGAAGGTGATGCAAAACTTTCTGATACAGGTGTTACTGGAGACTTTGGGATAGGAGGATCATCAGTTATAGAACGATCAGATGTAGACAAAATTTCTGTTTTTTCATTAATTTGATTTTTAACTTGAACTTGAGAAGGAGCAGGTGTATCTGTTTCATGATTTTCATCAACCTTTTCCACTAAACTTGCTTCTTGTAAAGAATTTTCAGGTTTAGTTTCAGATGGAGAAGGTGATGCAAAACTTTCTGATACAGGTGTTACTGGAGACTTTGGGATAGGAGGATCATCAGTTATAGAACGATCAGATGTAGGCAAACTTTCTGTTTTTTCATTAATTTGATTTTTAACTTGAACTTGAGAGGGAGCAGGCGTATCTGTTTCAGGATTTTCATCAACATTTTCCAATAAACTTGCTTCTTGTAAAGGATTTTCAGGTTTAGGCGCGGAAGTTGATGCAAAACTTTTAATTGCATTTATTATTATATCTTTTTGCTCAGTTTGCGACTTTAATCGAACAACAGAGCTTTCCGGAATTGAAGATAGAACTGGAAGTTTTGCCCCTTTAATTTCTTTATTTAAATATTGAATAAATTTATAAGCACGATCCTTTGGCATATCAAAGTAACCTTCCGTTTCCAATTGTTGAATGAAACTCTCATACTCAGCAGTAGGCAATTTTTCTTTTTGTTCAACTTCGGGCTGTTTTTGCGGAGTAGATTCAATGGTTTCTTCGATAGGAGTAACAGTTGAGTGTTCTTCATTTTGATTGGCTGAGGGAGGATTAGTAAATTCATCAAGTGCTTGTTTGATCAGCTCTATTTGATCTTGATTTGGAGTGAAACGAACCATTTCTACACCATCGATTGCAAGAGGGCTTATAGGCGGTAAACGAATTCCTTGTTTTCCTAAAAATTTCATGAAATTAAATGAAATTTCTTTAGACAAATCAAAATACCCATTTTTAACTAATTGTTCGCTTATAGTCTCAACAGCGCGTCTTTTACGAAAATTCCCATAAATTCTCTTTTTATTCTCTTCAAGTCTCATTTCCTCTCGCTCGCGATCCAATTCCTTTTTCCAAGCATCAAGTAAAATTGCATTTATGGACTCTTCCAATGCCTCTTCTGAGGCAAAAGACAAATCAGGTATCTCGATTCGAACAGATAGAAGTTCCTTTCCATATCGGCGATAAATTGTAATAGATTCTTGTTCTTCGGAATCTCCAAGTAAAGAGAATGAAAATGGATAAATAATGTTTGAAAGTGCAACAGTCCAACTTGAATCTAACTCAAGTGTGTCAGGCATCCTTACTGTAAACTTTGAGGTAGTATTTCCTTCAACATCTTCAGAATTTGAAGGTAAAACAACATAAAACGAATCCATGGTTAATGTCGAACTATGTCGCTGTCGTTTACCCAGCTGTTATGAATATCTTTATAACCAACCCAACGCACAAAGTGTTGCTTTATCCCTGTACGTGTTGTACGAGTCTTTAAAATTTCGGCAATACGATGAGTAGTATCCTCTTGCGTGGGCACCAACTCTTCTCTATAGAATATTCCTTCAATTAGGTTGTCTTCAAAATCTTTTAACCTATATGTTATAGGCGTACGTGCGTCGTTAGTTGTATGTATAAGAAAAAGCTCGTCAGTATAGTTTGGTAAATAACCTTTTTCAAATTTACCCTTTTCTTTTGATATACGGACAACTTGTCCAGGTTCGAGTTTAGAAGTTATTTTTATAGGATCATCAGTGCCCTTATATAGTCTTTCAAATAAATTTTGAGAATTTTTAAAAGTAACAGAATTAGGTGTAACACCTGTAACACGGTTTACGCTTGAATTTATTCCAGAAACAATTTTTTGAATGGCTTCAACCCACCGAAGTGTGTTTTTTTCGCTGAAGTATCGATATAATCTTTCTTTTATTGTACGATTTGCTCTTTCTGCCATTGAAGCATGAACATCAGGGCTATAAACTACACGTTTGTCGATATCCTTTGTTTTAAAATATTCCTTCATTCTTTTAGCCTCAAATTCTAATCCTCGATCAGTATACAATTTATGAGGCAAGACACCATCTGACATTTTGAAAATTTTTTCAAATGCCTCAATCATATCTTCTGATCTCTTAGTTTTGACAGGCGATGCAAAAATCTTTCGACTGAGAACATCAACACATACTAAAAGGTATCTGTTACTATCGTTATGCTTAGCTATCTGGTCAAATATTGCTAAATCTGCCTGCCAATCTGTATGAAGACCACTTGGACGTGTAACCAGCCTTGGAAATTTTTTTCTTGATGGTCTATGCATAGTATACACTCTTTGCTTATGCAAAAAATTATAAACATCCTGAAATTTTATCTTTGGATACTTGCGCCTCGCTTCTTCATAAACACGATTTATTCCTGCATACGAAGCAGGAGAATTCAGTGAATAATAAATTTTTGATAAAAAATTATCTAAAGCTTTTCCCATATTTGAGGAATAAATTTATTTTTCTTTTTTATAGGCAGGACTTTTACCAATACTCTTTTCTTTCTTTTCCCACTACCTGATTGACTTTTAGAACTTTCCTCTGTACTACTTTCTCCTTGCGTCTCTTTGATCATTTCTTTTACTAATGGGTCTTTGGATAGTCGATTAAATAGAAAACTAAAACCTTTAGGAGGTGACGATATATCACCTTGTACATATTCGAGCACTTCAGTGAAATTACTATTCTTTACAAGTCTTCCTTTGACATTAGATTCAAAGCTTCCATTCTTACGTATTCTAAATTTTTCAGCATTATCTTTAACATAATTTTCTAAATCTTTCGAATATCTCTTTGAAATAATTCCATTAAAAGGTGTTGTTTTTCTTCTTTTCATTAGTTTTGTCGATGTTAATTCTGAATCTGTTTGATATTCTGAACTTGATTGTACAGGTGTTATCCGTGCTTTAGGGGCTGCAGTTTCACTAAGGTATGGAGCAACTTCTGGAGCTTTAGTCGCATTACCTTCATCGATTATCACTTTTTGAGGTCTATTTTCTAATTCATGTTTGAGTTGTCTTCTTTTCTTATATAACCAGTTATATTTTTGGGCTTTTACATCTTCCCTTAAATCTGGATCACTAAGAGTCTGCTTAATTTTTGAGTCAGTCTGCACCTTTTCATTTTGAAGAAAATCTCCGCCTTTGATCATGCTTAAAAGTGTAAGATATTCACTTTCAGGAATCATAATCATTTTCTTCGTATGTTTCATTCTTGTGTGAATCTATGAATGATGTGTTCAGCTAAGGCTCCCAGGACAGGTACAAGTATAGCAGCTAGAGCGGCACTACCTCCTTGTTGTATTCGGTTTCTGGCGCTTTTTTCAGTACGTGTTCGGGCGATAGCTCTATAGAAATCGGCAAATTGAGCTAACTTCTTGCGCTGTCTTTTATTTAATATAAAATTATTTTTTAAAATATTAGCACAGATTTCAACTATTGCTAATATTTGATCCGCACTGGCTGAAAGAATTAAGGCGTTCTTCTTTTTATCGGAAGATGTTTTAGCTAAACGCTGTAAAAATTCAAAATTTTCTTTAACGTATGGACTATAGTCATACATTTTTTTATAAATAATAGTTTTATGATCACTTATATATTATAGAGGCAAATATATAGTCTGTTTTTCACCTGGAAATATTTTAGTGGAAAGACGCAGATTCTCTTCTGTACTTGGATGCATATTAATTAGTAAATAGGAAAATTGTTCGGAAGTAGCATCGCGATAGGCCTCAAGAAAATAGTTTAACATTTTTGGGAAAAGCTGAGATCCGAGTGTGCGTACTTGTAGTAGTCCTTGAGGATTTTTAGTTAAAAGAATATAATGGGCGTTCTCGTCCGTAAAGTGATTGTGTTACAAAGATTACGCTTACACCCCAGTTATGAGATCCCCGCGTGAATAATAAATCTAGAAATTCCATAGGGATATTTAGCATTAAGTCATCTAGGACTAATAATTGGTGCTGTTTAATCATCTCGACTTCTGGAACCCCATTATATGTTGTTATTCCCATTTCTTTTAATTTAAATATATTTTCGTTCATTTCACCAAAACAAAACAATATTTTATTTGGCGGAGGGTCAATTAATTTTTCACAATTTGCTAAAAATTTCATAAGCCATTGGGTTTTTCCGCTGCCTGTGGCACCGGAAATAACCATAGTGAAAGGAGCTTTGAACATTTTTTTGCCTTGTAAAAAATGTGTTTTCATTTATATATTACAGATGATTCCTAAAGCAATTATTCAAAATGTTGTTTCTACAGCTCAACTAATTGATAAAAGTGTTAAACTTAATCTTTATAATCTTGCAGAAATAATAAACAATTCTAAATATGCTCCTGAACGTTTCTCAGCACTTATAATTAGAATTCAACAACCAATTAGATCTACGGCTTTAATATTTTCTAACGGCCGAATTGTATGTGTTGGGACAAAATCGGTGAAGGACTCGGAAATTGCAATTGGACATTTTGTTGACATCATATCATCTGCATGTTCCTTACTAATAAAAATGCGAGGATTTAAGATACAAAATGTTGTATCCTCATTTGCTTTTCCTGGACATATTAATTTACCAGGTAATTTTTCCTATCATAATGAATTATTGTTTTAGCCTTGTACGACACCATGAGAATTTCTCCTCCACAGTGGCTAGCTAAACATATTTCTTATAACCCAGAATTTTTTCCGGGTATGTGCTTAAGACTTGTTGATTTTCGCACGGTTGTTTTAATCTTTACGACTGGAAAGTGTATAATTACAGGCGCACGAACAGAAGAAGAAATTTTTATTGTTCAAAATAAAATTTACAATTCTATTTTAATGTTTGTAAAAATCAATAAATACTAGTGTTGATTTCGCTTCTTAATTCCATCAAGAGTTTTCCAAGATAATTTTCGCCTTCCCATTGATTAGGGTCTTTCAGTTTTGCACTTTTTGGGCTTACACCGTTGCTCCAATAAAGTTCTGATGCGGACGCCTGCGTAATAAGTCCATCGCCTGTGGCACGTAACTGATTGAATAGCTGAGTGTTCTGGGTAAATTTTGCCCATATTCCTGTGTACATGACCTAAATATTATGATGAAATAATAAATAATATTTTTACTTTGTTGCGAACAGTGTTCCACTCGATTTGGTTATATCCGCGGATTCGCTTTCCAATTCTTCGAATAGTTATAGGATTATCTAGCATTAATATTTCTGAGGCAATTTCCAAATCCCCGAAGAAACGTGCTTTCTGCCAAATGAAAAATTGTTCTACTGAACTAAATGTTTTTCCAAGTAATGTGAAATTTGTTCTAAATCGGTTGTCAAAGCCAAAACGTTGAGAATGAAATATGAATATATTTTGATGCTGTTCGCCGATAATTTCTATTGGTGGATGCGAGTTCGCAGTAATTTTTATTTTAAGTCGTTCTAGGAAACAAGCTGTATTATCTAAAAATATTTATATTTGAAGTAATTTAAAAAATTAACCTATATTGATATCATTGATCATATTGCTAAAAATATATTAAAACAACTAAACTAGAATTTATAAAAATATATTGTATAAAACATATCAAAAAACAAAATATTTATGAAAAAATATTTATACGAAAAAGATCATTTTGTTGGATCATTAATAGGTGCACCCCGATATCCATAAGGATAACAATCGAAATTTGCATCTACAAATCCTTTGTCATAGATTGGTGTGTAGCGTCTAAATAATTTTTTTATATTTTTCAGATAAAAACAAAATACCTTATTTGAGTTCGACTTGTAACTTGTCCTTTGCGCCAGTTAGGTTGAAAATGTGTTCTCTGCAATACCACAGGATCTTGTTCTTCTCCATATGCTTCTACCATTTTCTGTAAATAAATTATAAAATTATATTGTAGTTTTTAAATACCCGGAATTGATTAAAGTCCAGTGGTGTATCAACTTGCTCCCAAAGTCCACGGCATTTTACAATATATTTTATTTCACCAGTTTCACGGTGCTTCATTTTCATTGCATACTAAGAAAAAATACAGTGAATAAAAGTGTTATTTAAAAACCTGTTTGCATCCTCCTGTATAAAAAGATATAATAGCCCATTCTTCATATTCGCGACTCATCATTCCAAGCATATCCCCAACACGAAACGGTGGTTTTTTATTACGCTTGTGTACAAAAAAACAACTATCCGTATCGGTATATAAAAGTTTACACCCGTTGTCATTTACAATTTTTTCCATGAAGTCGTAAAGCATCACTCTTGCCGTTGCTGTTGTAATAAGGGCCAATATAATGTTGTACTTATCGTGTGGTCGAACAAATTCGCGACGATTCTTATAAGGTACAGCGAAAAGATCTGGAGTCAACATCTCTATAGCCCCCACTTCAAGCTTTGGATCATTTAAAATTGTATGAAGTTTTATAGGGGAACTTGTGATGCAATCTTGAGTTAAATTACAGCGAAGTGCCCAGCGTCCCCACCTAAAATTTTTGATTTAAATTTTTAAATTAATTTACATTGAATTATTGCAAGTTTTAGCTAAATAGCGTAATCCTTCATTCCTTGCTATTTTTGAAGGCTCAAGAGTAATACCATATTCTTTTTGATTTTTCACAATAAAATCATTTTTGAGTCTTTCTTCATTTTCAAGATTTTCCGGACACAAAGCACTGCTGGGCCAACCGCTTGCCTAAGTTAAAACGTATGAATATCAAAACTAATGTTAAAACCTCAATTTTTAGACGCATCATGTCCTGAACATATGGACGTAGTAATTCATCAGACCATTCTTCCCAATGATAGATGCTATAAACTTTTGTTGCACGATAACCTCTGCTCAAAGCAAGTTCAAGTTCTACAGAGCAAGTTGTGCTTACAAATCCGCGCTGTCTATCATTATGTTGACACCATTTTCTTTCATAACTATAGCCGTTTTGTTTACGTTTAGCCACACCGGGCTCTATCTCTATTGCACATTGATGACATAGGTGAAATAACTAGAAAAAATTTTTCACTTTGGATTTAAATTAACATACCAATTTTCCGTGTATTCTCTCTGGAATTACAGGTAAATATAAGTCGTCAGGGGGAATGATGAATAACTTAAATATTCCACGATAAGGTCGTAAGTCTTCAGGTTTTGTCCAATTTATGTCGAGATTGAGATCCAATAACTCAGGATGGCCTAAAAATATATGGTTACAAATTTTTATAAAGTCTCACCAATGGGGTAGAACGCATAAAAGTTGACCGCAGGATATAGACTAACAACATCATAACATGAGATTTCGTATTCGTTTTCTGCATCATCTTCAAGGTTGCATTTAAGAGATAATGGTCCTGTTCTTCCACCTAGATATTGCATAATTATAAGAATTAAAAAATAATAAAACCATGAAAAGCATCCCGAGGGAATAAAGGTCCAATATCTGGCAATTCATCGAAGAAAAGGGACATTTTCGGATTATTTTCCAATGCCTTGACTACTTCGCATTCCCAAAATATGTAGGTACGTATGTTCTCGTTCTTTAACAAATTGATTCGTTCGTTTAAAGTGTCGTCATTATATAGTGCTGTTTTACCGTTGAGACAGATTTCATGAGGACGATAAAGACTGAATTTATAAGTAAGAAAATGAAGCTTATTTTACCATTTATGTCCATGCCATGCACATCCGAGGAACTCTATAGCTATATTTTTTTCTTTAATAAAACCATCAAGTCGCAAAACACTTCCATTTGAAACAGTAATTCTATACTCGCCTTCTGCACTTTGTCTGTTTTGAATTTGAAGGCCTGTTTTATGTTCAAGCCATTTAATAAATTTAATGGAGATTGCAGAGTAGTTTGTATCTTTGTGATACCCGTTGTCTGGAATAATACCTATCTGATTGCTTTTCAAATAGTTTATGCCTAAAAAAATAAAACTATATTGGTTAGAATTTTGAAATTTACAAAAATGACGAAGGCATGCACTAGCAAGTGTCATTGAAGATACAAGAACATCATCTCGTTTTGATGGTTCCGTAGCGAGTTCAAAGAATAGCTTTTGAAGTTTAACAAGAGCGTGTGAAAGTATGCGTACATCCTGCTCACAATATTCGACAATTTGTTCACAAAGTAAAAATGAACTGTCCTTGTGCATATCATACCATTCCTCGAAATCTTTCCTTCTTTGTTTTCCCATTGTTTCGGGATAATAATACTTCTTAGCTGGCAGACTTTTCAACAAAATATCCATATTTTTATTAAGATTCCATCCGTGAGGAAAAAATGATTTACCTCCTTCATCAATATCTAGACCAAGAGCCTTTGGTAATTGATCCAACTTGAGCATCATCCAATTAAAAGAATCGCGAAAAGAAATGTGCGGATAAATTCCATCTTTCTTCTTTATAAGAACTTCGTAAAGTTTGTTTCCAGTTCTTGTTATATTTGGTTCAATTCCAAAGTGATTGATCAATTCACCCAATAGTAAATGCATATCATAACGTCTGGAAAAAATATTAAAATAAAAAAATTATTCAGTACAAACCCTCCATAATGTGAAATTGCAAGAGTTTTTCCTTTTCTCTCATTATCAAGTCCAAAGATTATCCATTGAAGAAATTCACGCAATGGGTTCTCGTAATTTGCACCCGTCCAACTTTTCATTCTAGGAATTCCCGGTCCACAAGTTTTGCATGTTCCTGTATATTTTTCTTTCCAATTATTATTTTGCATACACTTTGCGCATAATAGCATTGCCTGATTTATAATTTATCAGTTATTATAATTTAAATTACCGAGACACAGTTAACATGATGTAATTTATAATTTTCATCGTTAGATGAACTATCATTTATAATTTTTGATGATGATATAAGTTCACATTCAAAATCAAATACAACCTAAAAAATTTTTATTTAAAAGTGTTTAAAAAATACCATAAGATAAGATTGAGCTTTTTTAGGAACAATCTGTTGTACAAAGCATTGTTCATCCCTTCTATGCCGTGAATGACAAAGAGAACAGAAACGAATATAACATACATGTCCTTCATTTTCCTCTTTGTTATTCACTTTGTAAATTTGACCACATTCTTTGCATCTATTTTCAATTTTATTTTTTATTAAAATTTAAAATACCTTTTAAAAATCTGGCATATTCCCTTTTCAATATGTCGTTTGTAACAGTCTGGATTTCTAAACAAGTTGAAACACTCAGAACAATTTATTTCGTAGTTTTCAATCTCTTTACAGGGAAAATCTGCGCCCATCCCGCAGCAACGTGGACATTTTGCTGCACATGTCTGCCGATGTTCTATTTTGCTGTGGTAGGTTGATTCACATTCAAGACAATAATACATATCCTTTCCAAAAAGTGTATTTAGTTTTCTTATACCATAATAATGTCCTTCCTTTAAATATATACAAATATCCTTCTCAGCACGAGATGCTCCCTTCCATAAAGGTTTCATTTGGCCATATTCTCCAAATACTGCTAATCGATATTCACCAGGAAATTTTTCATTAAAATATTTTTGTATTAATGGGGCATGTTCTTCTACATTATATTCTTGCAATTTTAGAGGATATCTTATTCCGTGTCGTTTCATTTGAATTAACATATCCTTGATCAATGTGTATCTTTGAGTCTTGGATCTTGCTCCTTTTCCCGCAATAATTCTTTGAAAATTCATTTTTTCTTTTGGTGTATTGTCCATATTTATATACATCAATGTTAGTTGAACAGCCAGCAAAAGGCAATGGTATTTGGCAGGTTCACCTAGATCATCATTGCGAACCTAAATTTGTTATATTGTATTTTTAAAATTTAAAAACCTCAATAAGATTGTTGAGGTCTGTTCCTTTCATAATATGTCTTGATTTTCTGCCGCTTCCACTATTTCCTTTCTCTATCAAGGCTAGAGCCTCTTCGTGAGAAGGTCCCATAACAATCTTGAAAAAATAGTTTTTTACTTTTTATGAAAATCCACCTCAATATGTATTGGTTGGCTGTAAAGTGATGGTCTTCCCATCCTTTTTCCACTTTGATCAACGGAATCAAGTTGTTCCATAACAACCTGTGGTGTATTTTGCGCAAAACCTCTGTATGGTATTTGAATTGGCTTCTCAAGAACTGCACTGCGTATAATTATTGAACATTGTTCCGCTTTTGTACCGGTTGACTTGTCCGCTTTTTCAATGAAGTAATCAATTAAATCTTCTAAAAGTTGATCACTTCCTTCTGGCGCATCTTCAATATTTTTAACAGTGAATACATTTCTAAAATAAATAGAATTTCGATATATAAATTTGAATTTACCTGAAAACACCAATTTTGAATTTTGTACTGTTAACCGTCTCCGCTGCCTCTTCTTTATAAAAATGATTAACAGAATATTCTCCAAAATTTCTAATATGACGACTCATCTAAATGCTATAATAAAAATTAATAATGGTTATTTAGATATTAACGTTAAAACGTATTTTTAATAAAAAATACAAGTATATTTTAATTATTTATTTATTGAAAAAGTATTTTTATAGTCAGTTGTTGTATCCATTTACTATTCGTTTAATTTTTCAGTTTCAGCAGTAACGACACGGTCTTCTGAAGAATTTTCAGTTTGCACACCCTTCTCCTCTGTTTTGGGTTTAATAGTACTACATGAATCCGTGTGAGCTCTCATGAATATTATTGGTGAATCTAAAATTTAAAATACGCGTAACATTTTTTGTCAAACCTTCTCGCATAATTGGTCCATGAATACTTCCGTGTTTGTTGAAGATCTTAATTGCCATTTCAAGATCAATTTGACCCCAGAATTTGCTAAATGGGTTATGAAGCTCAAAATACAACTCATCCTTCACGACTTCCGTAATAGCCTTAAGTAATATATTTGATAAATTATACGAATAAAAATATACAATTTTTGCCAGCGCATTCATCTCCCTTAGTAAATATTCATGTATTTGACATTTTGCTAGAGGATAGCGTTTTTCATGAAATTGCATAAAAGCATCGTATAGCTCATTTTTTAGCATTTTGTCATCTTGGCGCACATACTCAAGCGTGCTGATTTGTCGAGAGAATCGTATAACGCTTTCTTTGAGACCTTCAATAACATGTTCATACATTTGTTGATCCATCTTAATATTTTATTTAATATTTTAAAATTTTTAATACCTCTATTTTGAAGAGAATATTACAGGAACTGAAACTTTTTTGAGAAAATTGATTAATTAAAATATAAGTATTATAAATCGTTAATTTAACGATTATTTTTTGTAATTAAGGTTGCTTTAAATTTTTTATTCAACAATATTAATCAAATAAGCGGTGTTTATTTTTCCTCTTAATTCTTCTTATTTAATGTGCCATATGTTTTCTGCTGGTGCTC